ACAGGCTGGTCCAGTTCTTCGATAAAGGAGAAGATACCATCATTCTTCTCAAATTCAAACAGTTTTCCGTGGTTTCTGCAGAATCGAAGTCGTGAATTTTGAAATTGAAGTAAGGATTAAACGCAGGAAAGATGAGCGTCATTGAAATTTTAACTCGAGTTGATGCAATTTGCAAGAAGTACGACAAGTACGACGTGGAAAAGCAGAGAGATCTGAATGTATCTGGCGACGACGCCTTTGCTCGGCTCTACGCCGCAGTAGAATCTGACATCGAGACTGCTCTTCAGGTGATTTATGTTTAGATCTGTATCAATTCCTTTGATATCTAGGGTTTTAGGTTTTCCCTTTCAAACTGTTAATTCATTGATAATGAGTAATGTTGGTTTGTTATCGTTTTCAGAAAGCTGAGACAGCTAGCAATGAGAAAAACAGGGCTTCGGTGGTGGCGATTAACGCTGAGATACGACGAACCAAGGCCAAGTTACTGGAAGAAATCCCTAAGTTGCAGCGATTGGCTATGAAAAAGGTTCGATCTCGATCTCGCTCCTTTTCTTTGATCACCTACAAATTATATGTTCTTGTACACTATAAATGAACGGAAAATCAGTATAAATCGATTTGACTTCATCGCAAAAGACACATGATATTACTTGTCTACATCTTCTTTCTTCTCGATAAAATACTGTTCTTTCAAATGATGTGACTGATATCATTGTTACACAATTGTGAAATCCAGCAAACATAATAGAAACACACATTGCTGATTTAACCCAATTTGATTACAATTAACAGGTAAAAGGACTTGCTCCTGAAGAATTTGCAGCTCGCAATGATTTAGTCCTTGCACTTCCTGACAGGATTCAGGCAATCCCTGATGGTGGTGCTCCTCCACCCAAACCATCTGGAGGAGGCTGGACAGCTTCTGCTTCTGCTTCTCGTCCACAAATCAAGTTTGATTCATCAGGTCATTAATTAACTCCATTATCATTTTTATTTATGTAATTAACTTCTTGTTTTTACATTATTATAATTTTTTTCTTCATAGATGGACGATTTGATGATGAATACTTCCAACAAACTGAAGAGTCAAGCCAATTCAGGAGCGAGTATGAAATGAGAAAAGTTAAACAGGTATGTAAATCAGTAAATGTAATCTTGATTTTTTTTTTAAATTATATTTGTTACTTTTTTTTTTATTGTTGATATTTTATATAGGATCAAGGATTGGAATTGATATCAGAAGGTTTAGATACATTGAAAAACATGGCACAAGATATGAATGAGGTTTGTTATCTTATATTCTTATACTTAATTCTTGAAATTATATGATTACAAATAAAGATTTTGATTTTTTTTTTTTAAATAAAAATGTATGCAGGAAGTAGACAGACAGGTTCCTTTGATGGATGAAATAGATGACAAGGTAAATAAATAAATAAATAAAATAAATGGAGAAAATTAAGGTTGATGAAAGTATTTTAATTTTAATTTTTATATATATTTTTTCAGGTGGATAAGGCAACTTCAGATCTTAGGAATACCAATGTTAGACTTAAGCACACTGTTAATCAGGTGATTAAGAACAAATTAATAATTTTCTTCTTATTGTGTTTTTCATGATTAAAAATTTAACATTTTTAAAATTTTTTTTTTTGTGTTGACAGCTGAGATCTAGTCGAAATTTCTGTATTGATATTATATTGCTATGTGTAATTCTGGGAATTGCAGCCTACTTATACAAGTAAGTTTTTTTTTCCCTTAATCTTATATAAAGTTGTAACTTTATACAAGTAAGTTATTTAAAAAAAAAAAAAACTTTTTAATTTTTAATTTTGCAGTGTATTGAAGTAAAAGTTTGTGCACATAATGGAATATCCTATCTGGTTTGCTCTACTTGTGGTGTGCTGTATGTTTTTGCATCTAATATTTGAACCTCTTTATTATTTTTCATTTTATGCTTTATGTGTTGAATCATGTGAAGCATTTCTATGTTTCTATAAATATATGAATGAATATATTTGTTTTGCATTTTATTATTATTATCTCGTTAGCATCTTGAGAAGCTTTGAATGTATTGGTATAGTGGTTTAATGGGTAATGATGTATGTCTGGATAAACTGCTGCATGACATAAGGTTTGTTTCTTTTCTAAACTAGATAAACCGATAAACCATCTGAATGATGCTCTACCTTGAAGAAACTCATGTCATTTGTATCGATCCCCTAAGGCCACACTTTCTCATTTTGACAATTTTGCCCTTCCATGGTTTGAACTTCTTGTTGGAGTTAATAACACTCTTTTTCTAAATATTTTCTATCATAACTCACTAATGATGCTTCAACGTTGTCTCCTTTTTCCGACATAGAACACATGTCTGTATGAGAAAAATCTAAGGCTGTGGTATGTTTGGCGCATCAAAACTAGCCGATAAGCTGATAAATTAGTTAATTTTTGAGTTTTTTTTTTTAAATTGTTATGTTTGGAAGCTAAAAAGTAGCTTATAAGTTAAGATTTTTAAAAAGTTAGGTTTTGTTTGATTGACATCTTTTCAAGTTTAAACATATATTTTTGATTGAATGAGCCAGAAAGACTGTTTGATTTGCACAAAAAAAAAGTTTTTTTCCCGGTGAACCCTAAAATCATCTATTTATGGCTGAATGGTTATTTTTCATCATTCATTATAGTTAGTAATCAGATGTACAATTAAACAATATGATTTCTTTTCTAGTTAATAAACTTTTTTAGATATTTTCTCCGTCTTAATATTATTGTCCAAAAGTAGATTAAGAAAACATTAATTACCATTAATTTTATTAAATGAAATGATAATTATACTTTTTTACTGTATTTAATTTTATGGTAGTTGCATTTAATTCCATGATAGTTTAACTAATAATAAATGATATTTTGGTAAAATTGATATTTATTTTTAGAAGTGGACTATTATTTTAAGACAAACCAAAAATGAAACATGGATTATTAGTTTAGAATGAAAGGAGTAACATATTTTGAAGACAACTATCAAACAAGCATTTAGTTAGACTAGCTTTTCAGGAGCTTTTTTTTTTTTTTTTTTCAAGTGTACCTCTTAATTAATTATAGAAAATATATTATTCTAAATGTTTTTCTTTATTATTTTATATCTTTCAGTTAGCTTATCTATTAGTTTTACCAAACGCTATTTTTTATCGGCTAGTACGCCAAATATAGTCTAATTATGAATTAAACATGCAAGCAAACATTGAAAGATCTTTGAACAAACTCTCATTTGGAATCTCAAAATTAGGGTTTGTATCCTTGATTCCTAGCACCATCCACATTAGGAAAAGATCATTACTCTTTCAAATACGATATGTAAACTTTTGCATTTATCTTGCACACCATTGCAATGTTAATAATCTTTCAAAATGGTATCATTAACAAATCAATAATCACTTTATAATTTTTAACAAATAATCTCAAACTCATTGATTCTTTTGGATTGTTTGAGTTGCAATTAACCGTATCAAGCAATCTATTCTCATGCATGATCTAGTTAGTTTAGTCTTGACCACTGACCTTTATAAAACACAAAACCTATCTTCATCACAACCATATTCTCCCTTAATAACCCTATAATTGGCCTCATTCTATTCATGTAAGTATCACTTTTCAATTTTAACAGTCTCAATCTCTCGTTAACATGATTTTGTTTTGCTTGGTCGTAGATGAAGCTTTGTTCGGAAAAGATAAATGGTACTACTTTAATCCATGAGATAGAAACATGGAAACTCCAATGGATCGAACTTGTAAACCCTATTTGGGAAAGATGGAAGCTTGGAAAGTGGTGGGAGTAACTTTCTTCTGTAAATAGTGAATGATAAGTGTTTTGTTGAGCGGGTGAAATTTAAAATTCAGAAGAAGTTATAAGGTAGGTTTGGTATGATGATGGAATGGAAAAACCAAGAAATAGAATGGATAAGGTAATGAAATGATCAAAGGAAATGAAATAGATCAATTACAATACATTGCCAATGTTTGGTTGGTTTGAAGGAATGTAACAAGTCATTCAAATATATTATTTGTTATCAATAAATAGAAATCTAAATATAGTAAAATTGATAAATAAAATAAAAAATATTTCATAATAATAAACTTTAATTAAATAAATATATATTGATAAATAAGTTGCATATAAACATAATTCCTTTTACATGCTATATGTTTTGCAAATAAAAAAATTATCCATGATCTAAAACGTTTACAAAATAAAAGGAACTAGACAACATTGAAATCTTTTAAAATATAATTATAATAGAAATATTTTTATTTATTTTAAAATTTAAAAAATCATTTAATTAATGTTTTAAAATTTTTAAAAGATAATAAAAAACGCTCATCCCCTATAAAATAAAAATTAATCTACAAAAAGAATCACATTTAGTGAAGAAATTCTCCATTTCATTCCTTGGTGTAAATCAAATGTTTTTTTTTTTTTTTTTTTTTTTTTTTGTTTCAGCCATGATGCACTATTTCCTTTCTCTTCGATTACCACATACTAAACAATACATAAATTTGAGGTGTTCTTGATTTTCTACATGGAAATCAAGATTTTGTTATTCGCTTTGTTTTCCTCTTGTTGACGCTACTAAGCATACTCATGAGCTGTAGATATATACACGAATACCATATATGTGAAATGTTGTTATATTAATTCTTTATCATTAATTGAACTTAAAGAACTTATACTTTCTCTAACTTGGAATATTCAAACATAAACTCCAGATGTAATTTTTTTGTTTGAAACAACTAAGTACAACAATTGTACTGTCCAAAAAAGGACATGATGTTGGAAAATCTATCTTTTAAACTCAAATTAATTATAGTTCGAGATATCTCCAAATTAAACACCACAAATAAAATTTATTTAGTTTTTTTTATAAAATCAAAGTCAAATCAAATACCCCGTATCCTGTTTTCTTATCCATCTCAAAAGAAAATTCATATTATAGAGTAAGATGCTCAATTGTCCTAAAATAGATATATGTACGTACTTCATAACTTGATCACACATTTATTTCATGTTCATATGTTCTAACTTTTACTATAAACAGTGTTCAACACACCTATATACATAGCATCCATTTATACCAATCTATTTACATCATATAATCCCATATATCATATTCCTCTCCCCCATAGAAACTCATGTCATTTGTATCAATCCCCGAAGACCATATATCCTCATTTTGACCTTCCATTAATGTTCTAAGCTTCTTGTTGGACTCAATAACACCTTCTTCTTCTCTGTGATTTCTATCATAATTCACGGATGATGCTTTGAAGTTATCGCTTTTTTCTGATATAGAACACATCGTGTCAATGGAAGGGAAATCTAAGTGAGAACCAAACATGAAAGGCAACATTGGACAATCTTTGAATAGGCTTTCCTTCAAAATTTCAAGATTAGGGTTTTTGTCAGTAGAAAAAATCATTGACTTTTCAGGTTCCAAAACCTTTTGACCATAATCTTCACAAGAGTTTCTTGGCGTACAAGTCTTGTGTCTCACTCTACAAAGCACCCAATCATCCAACTATAACCATAAACAACAACCACCAAAATAATGTACATCTTTTTAGTAAGTTTATAAAAAGAAAATTTAGGTTTCATTGTAGGCTTACCCTCATTGATTCTTTTCGCTTGCTTGAGTTGCAAGAAACCGTATCAAGTAGTCTATACTCATGCATGATCCAATCGGTCTTAATCCCTCTTGGAGGCCTACCTTTATAGAACACCAAACCTTTCTTAACCCCAACTATCTTCTTCCCTAATGACCCCATAATCGGTCTGTCTGTTCCCGTTGCTTTCCAGTATCCCGACCCTGCCATCCGATTCGGCCTCACTCCATTCGGGTACTTCCTATCTCTTGGACTAAAGAAATACCATTCATCTTCTCCAAACAAAGCTCTATCTACAACCAAACAACATAAAATGAGCATGTTAGAGAGATATTGGGACTGAAACTGATATTGATATTGATATTGATATTGATACTGATACTGATACTGATACTAACAAGGAAGTTCCCATGGATCAAATTTGTAAAGCTCGATTTCGGCAAAGATGGAAGCGGGGAGGGGGGATGAAGTAACTTTCTTCTGTAAATAGTGAACAATAAGTTCTTCGTCGGTTGGGTGGAATCTGAAACCGGGAGGAAGTTGTATGTCAAAATTTGAGGGGTTCTTGATTTTCTCCATGGAAATCAAGATTTTGTTTTTCACTTTGTATTCTTCTTGTTGGTGGAGGAGACTACTAAGCATACTCTCATAAGCTGTAGATATATACACGACTAGTGTGTATATGCAATGCTTGTGTAGACAAACTTATATTAATTATTTATCGAAATTGATTTTCAACAAAGGTGTACGAAAAGAACGTTTATGTCGCGAAGCGAAGATTACGTATTACATTCTTTGACTTAGAATATCGGGACATAGATTTTAGATGTTTGAAACACCTAAAGTACAACTCGTACATTCCAGCAAAGGACATAATGTCGGATATAATAAGAATCAAGAAATACTAATTTAATTTGGTTATAGAGTCTAATTATTATATATAACAAATTAATGTCGGATATAATAAGAATCAAGAAATACTAATTTAATAGCGTATTTGAATGATTTATTTCCTTTTATGATTTTAATCCATTATATCCGACTGGCCATAAGTATGTTTGAGAGATGAAGATTTGACTACTTGAAATATCGCCTTTTGTTAGTGTCAAAAAGTTGTACTATAACAAAAGCAAACAAATCAATTTGCACATATGAAAACAATTCTAACATGACACCGGTAAGTAAATATAACACATGTATTTATTTTTATAACAATATGGTATTTTCAATTTTTTTTCTCATTAAGGATTTTACTTTCATTTTCTTTTATTTTTAAGACAATATTCTTTAAAAATATCTAAGATCATCTCCAACCCATCCCCATTTTTTTTTCCTTAAAAATGTAGTAAAAAATGGGGTAAATAGTATTTTATCTCCAATCCTACTCTATTTTTCCCCCCATTTTTAACCCCCAAAAATATATTCCAAGTATATTCTATTATTCCAACTTACATATATTTGCAAACACACCCATCTACTTATTTAGTTTTAACAAATATATAATTTATATTTTTTTTTCATTACATTAATATTAAATAAACAATATTATATTTATAATACACTTATAAATAAATATTATACACGAATTTATAAAAGTATTACACATACACACTTTTAAATAAATATTATACACATATTTATATAAATATTAGACATACATATTTTTAAATAAATATTATACATGCATAGATAACATATTTATGCGTTGGAATAAATTTCCCACAAATGATCAACTAACTAATTTCGTAGACTGAAGTGTGCTTCTTTATCTTTAATACGTTTATATCGAGCAAGAAATTGTTGGAATTGACTGTCTTCGTCTGTCGCCAATTCAACCTCTAGCATATTTGTAATATATATTTTAATTATAAGTTTTTGTAAAATACTGATCATTTTTTAAAATTTCAATATGTATTTAATTTTTTATATGAATTTGATGAAAAAAACAAATTTTATATTTATAATTAATTAATATAATTTAATATATAACAAAATATTATAATTATTAAATATTATATTTAAATTATATTTAGTAGGTAAAAACGAACTAGAAATGTATAAATATATAAACAGAGGGATTAAAACCGACAACGCAAAATTCATTCCCATTTTGGAGAAAATAAATAGTATACCACCATATTTGGTGTAATACTATTCATATCCCCCAAAATAGGGGAATAAATGGAGGAGGGTTGGAGAAAAATGAGAAAAAAAATGGGGAAAAAAAATAGAGAATGAAAGTGGAATGAAGATCCTCTAACCAATTATTATAATGAAGTTTTTTGTTTGTATCCAAATATCGTTAGTATAATCGAGTAACTTTTTTCCAAATATAATAGTTTAATAGGCATAAATTAAAAATATGATATTATATGAATAAATCAATGAAAATAAGTTATTAATGCTTTTAGGGTGTAACTGAGTTGGTCTAGAGTAACATGTTTAGGATAAATCATAGTTGTGTTTCCATGGGAGAGCTCTTTTCTAATCAGACAGTTTTTCAGTGTCTAATATATGATTTTTCTCTTACACAATGAGTTTGAAAATATTCAAAACGTGTTTAGCAAAACTAGTTGGTAGCTGTAAAGTAGAAGCTTGAAGATGGTTATTGGTAGTTGGAAGCAATCGCAAGCTGGAAGCTGACAGTTATAGTTTTCATTTGTGTAGAAGTGTTCAACAAAAGTAACTTTTAGTTTTTAAAAATGTAAAATTCATAAAAACCAAAAGCTAAAGTCGTTGAAATGCTATTTGAACTAGCTTTTGGATTATGATTTTTTTCTTTAAAATAAAAGTTATTTTTTTTAAGTTTTACTTAAAATCTAGAAGATAAAACTTCCAAAAAAAATTGGTGCCAAAAACACAGTCATTTATTAGTTTTCGGGTTTAAGACAAAACACGAAAAAAAAAATTTAGAGGGTCAAAGGAATGAGCTCATATTATTTATTTATTTACTATATCCTAAAGCTTTATTCTTCTTCAACATTGAAAGCTGAATTTGCTATTATCGATAACAATAAAAATTTGATACCAAAATCTGTTTTTCTTTTTGGTGATAAATTGATTTTTTTCGACCATAGTTGCTGTCATATGTTGTGTATTTCATAATATGAAACGATGGATTCAAGGTGATGATTTGTTTGCTTTCTATATAAAAAATGCTGATTTTAATTATTTTATTAGTTTTCATTTTATGTTTATATGATATTGAAAGACCATAATAGATAACCAACAATAATCAAATAAGCTATATAAGAGTGTTCACATGCGATTTTGCTATTCAAAATAACAATAATTGGTTGTGTTTGATAAATTCTTTTTCTTTCCTAGATACAATGAACATATAGACATTCTTATAAAAAACGAAGGGCCATCCTCTGAAATGAGAGTATGTAAGTGTATTTTACCATTTGATAAATATTTATTGCAACTAGTATAGAACTATTGAATTGATAACTATTGTAGCTTCCATTCATAAGATAGAACCGATTCGATAGATTGTATTATTTGCTACAAGGTGGAATCATACCTAGAAAGGTAAATATTCTAGTGTGAAGAGTTTTGTTAAATCAACTTCCAACTAGACCTAACTCAATAACTTGCTTGATTGAGGAGTGGATGTTTCTTTGAATTTGTGTCATGGGTGCTCGAATCATGAATAAAATTTAGAGCATTTTTTTGTGGTATGTGAAGTGGAAACGAAAATTTGAAATGCCATTTCAAGGTGGGTGGATATTGGTTTTCTCTCATGGAATTCGGTCTTGAGATATTTGCTTGGGTTGATTCGTTATAAATGCCAAACATGAAGAAAAAAAAAAAAGCAAAGTTGAAAGCTATGGTGATAAGTACTTTGTGGGTGTTGGGGTGGATTTGGAATTCCATAGTTTTTGGAAGTGACAAGCAAAAAACGGAGACAATTTTTGATATTGTTGTTGATTATTCTTATTATTGGGTTGCTAATAGAAAAAGTAAACTAGTCATAAACCGACTAATAAATTGTTATTGATCCTAAATAACCAAGATAGTCAAATTTATGATCTTTATATTCTAACACTAAATCAAGTATTATGATTTAAGTTGCATTTCGAGTCTTACATCCAAATATTATTCAAATTACATAACAAAGAGAATATTTTGTTAAATAATTATTGTAACTTTAATATGATTTTTAGAGTTGATTTTGGTTACTCTTATGGAATGTTTTGCAAAACTACTCCGTAGCTGAAACCTGGAAACTTAAAGCTATAGCTTTTGGTGTGTTCTAAGAATTTAAGAGCTTTTATTTTTGGAAGGGTATAAATATAATAAAAAACTAACAAAGACCTAGTAAAACCAAATTACAAAGTCATACAAGCAGTTGGAAGATTTTACACCAATCCAATCCAAAACAAATTAAATTCTTTAATAAATTTAGAGGAATGAAATTGCTTTTTTCTTAATGATAAAAAACGAATACAGGGAGCTCCTTATATAGAAGTAAAAGCTAAAGATAAGAATAAAGGTTAATAATTATCATAAAGGTTAATAATTATCCTAACCCTTGTACAGCAAGAAACAGAAAAAGAAGGAAATTAAATTAATCTCAACACTCCCTCTCAAGTTGGACTGTGTAAATCACGAACACTCAACTTGCTGCAAAGAAACCGAAAACGATCCGCTCCCAAAGCTTTAGTAAATATGTCTGCAGTTTGAAATTCAGAACGTATAGCACAAGGTTTAATTTCGCCATTAGTTACTCGTTCTCTAACAAAATAGCAATCCATTTCCACGTGTTTTGTCCGCTCGTGATATACTGGATTGACAGCAATATGTCTAGCAGCTTCATTGTCACACATTAAGGGAGTTGCTCCTACTTGTGATGCATCAAAATCTTCTAAAAGCCATCGTAACCAAATCACCTCGCACACCGTGCTAGCATTAGACCTATATTCTGCTTCAGCTGAAGATCTAGCCACAACACTTTGTTTCTTCGTTCGCCATGAAACAGGAGATCCACCCAAACTAATAAAATAACCTGTACAAGACTTTCTTGTAGATGGACAACTCAACCAGCTAGCATCGCAATACGCCACTAAGTTGAGATTACCAGATGAAGGTAAAAACAAACCTTGTCCTGGAGTGGTTTTCAGGTAACGTAACACCCTGTGTGCAGCATCTAAATGTGTTTTTCTTGGTTTGCTCAAAAACTGACTTAACTGGTTCACTGAAAAGGTTATATCTGGTCGAGTAACCGTGAGATAAAGTAACCTGCCCACCAATCTCCTATACTGTGCTGCATCAATTTCTGGACTTCCATCTTCTTTATGGAGACGTAAGTTTTGTTCCATGGGGAATAAGCTGGGACGACTTCCTTGAACACCACAATCCTTTAGTATATCAAGCGTATATTTTTGTTGACTGATAACAAAACCTTCAGAAGAACGAGCTACTTCAATCCCAAGGAAATATTTTAGTGGTCCCAAGTCCTTGATGCTAAATTGCGACTGCAGGTATGTTTTTACTTCTTCCAACCTTTTCTCGTCGTTTCCCATTAAAAGAAGATCATCCACGTAAATGAGAGCTACGAGGTGAATGGACCCGTTTCGAAAGGTGAACATAGAGTGATCTGCCTTAGACTGCCGAAAACCAGTTCCAACAAGTGCATT